TGACCTTTCTCTCTGGCTGCCCTTAACATTTTTTACTTCATTTCAACTTTGTGAATTTGATGATTATGTGTCTTGGGGTTGCTCTTCTCAAGGAATATCTTTGTGGTGTTCTCTGTATTTCCTAGATTTGAATGTTAGCCTATCTTGCTAGGTTGGGGGAGTTCTCCTGGATAATATCCTCAAGAGTGTTTTCCAACTTGGTTTCATTCTCCCCATCACTTTTAAGTTCACCAATCAAACATAGGTTTAGTTTTTTCACATAGTCGCATATTTCTTGGAGACTTTGTTCCTTATCGTTCTTTTTTCTCTAAACTTGTCTTCACACTTTATTTCATTAAGTTGATCTTTAATCTCTGATATCCTTTCTTTTGCTTTATCAATTCAGCTATTGATACTTGTGTATGCTTCACGAAGTTCTTGTGTTGTGTCATTTATGTTCTTCTTTAAACTATTCTAGTTAGCAATTTCTCTAGCCTTTTTTCAAGGTTCTTAGCTTCCTTACATTGGGTTAGAACATGCACCTTTAGCTCAGAGGAGTTTGTTATTACTGCCTTCTGAAGCCTACTTCTGCAGTTCATCAAACTCATTCTCCATCCAGTTTTGTTCCCTTGCTGGCGAGGAGTTGTGATCCCTTGGAGGAGAATAGGTGTTCTGATTTTTGGAATTTTCAGCCTTTTTGTGCTGGTTTTTCCTCCTCTTTGTGGATTTATCTACCTTTGTTCTTTGATGCTGGTGACCTTCGGATGGGGTTTTTGTGTGGACATTCATTTTGTTGATGTTGATGCTATTCTTCTTTGTTTGTTAGTTTTCCTTCTAATAGTCAGATCCCTCTGCTGGAGTTTGCTGGAGGTCTCCTCTAGACCCCGTTTGCCTGGGTATCACCAGTGGAAGCTGCAGAACCACAAAGATTGCTGCCTGTCCCTTCCTCTGGAAGCTTTGTCCCAGAGAGGCACCCGCCAGATGCCAGTGGAGCTTTCCTGTATGTGGTGTCTGTCGAACCCTGCTGAGAGGTGTTTCTCAGTCAGGAGGTACAGCAGTCAGGCACCCACTTGAGGAGGCAGTCTGTCCCTTAGCAGAGCTTGAGTGCTATATTGGGAGATCCACTGCTTTCTTCAGAACCAGCCAGTAGGAATGTTTAAGTCTGCTGAAGCTGCGCCCCCAGCTCCCCTTTCCCCTAGGTGCTCTGTCCCAGGGAGATGGGACTTTTATCTGTAAGCCCCTGACTGGGGCTGCTTTCTTTCAGAGATGTAATGCCCAGAGAAGAGGAATGTAGAGAGGCAGTCTGGCTACAGTGGCTTTGTGGCATTGCTTTGGGGCTCTGCTAAGGGACAGGCAGTCCTAACTTACCATTGGCTTTGTTTACACATTGAGGGGAAAACCGCCTACTCAAGCCTCTGTAATAGTGGATGCCCCTCCCCCCACCAAGCTCGAGCTGTCCCAGGTCGACTTCAGACTGCTGTGCTGGCAACGAGAATTTCAAGCCAGTGCATCTTAGCTTGCTGGGCTCCGTGGCAGTGGGATCTGCTGCGCTAGACCACTTGGCTCCGTGGCTTCAGCCTCCTTTCCAGGGGAGTGAACGGTTAGTCTCACTGGTACTCCAGGCTCTGCTGGGGTATGATTAAAAGCTCCTGCAGCTACTTCGCTATCTGCCCAAATGACTACCCAGTTTTGTGCTTGAAACCCAGGGCACTGCTGGTGTAGGCACCTGAGGGAATCTCCAGGTCTGTGGGTTGTGAAAACCCTGGGATGAGCGTAGTATCAGGGCATTGTTCCTCATGGCACAGTCCCTCACGTCTTCCCTTCGCTATGGGAGGGAGTTCTCTGACCCCTTGCGCTTTCCAGGTGAGGCAACGCCCTGCTTCAGCTAGCTCTCCGTGGGCTGCACCTACTGTCTAACCAGTCCCTGATGAGCCAGGTGCCTCAGTTGGGTGCAGAAATCACCCACCTTCTGTGTTGATCTCGCTGAGAGCTGCAGACCGGAGATGTTCCTATTTGGCCATCTTGCCAGCCACCTGTTTCTTCTTCTTGAAGTTCATTGAGATTCTCGAATCTGTAGATACATCATTTTCTTCAGATTTGGGGACTTTTCATCATTTTAAAAAATTTATTAAAGAAATGCTTTATTAATACAAACAAAGTATAAAGTACTAAGAAATATAAATATCTGTGTCATAAGCAAACATCCATGACCAACAGAATGATTGAAGGAGACTGCAACAAACTGGATTCCTGTGGTAGGGAGAGCATCTTCCCTGGTGAAGGGGGGACCCCAGTGGTAACATCTTTTCCCGTTCTCTGTCCCATCCAGAACCACCAGAGTCACTCCATTCGAGGGGAAGTATGCAATCTGATGCTCCTCAGCCAGGTCAAAATTCTTCAAAATCTATAGGATTAAAAGGGGACCAATTTTCTACTTCTGAATACGTGTCATCGAGACAGGAATAGAGGTTTTTGCTTTAACAGTCTTCTCAGTCATAAGGCCCAGACCCCAGCTTCAGCCTATCCTTAGTAGCCATACAGGTGCCTGGTTCTCTGTTCTCCTTATCAACAAGGATTGGAGTTGGATTACTCTGAGATGCTCCCTCCATCATTATTAAAAATAGTTTTTTCTGTTTTCCTCTTCCCCTTTTGCAAGAACTCCAATTATATTTATATTAGGCTGCTGGATTATCCTACAGCTCCCTGACACCCTGTTCATTTATTTTCAGTCTTTTTTCTCTATTTTATTTTGCATAGTTTCTGTTGCTAAGGTTTTGAGATCATTTATCTTTTCTTCTGAATTAGTATGCCAGTGATCCTACCCAGTATACTTTTTATCTCAGACATTGCTTCATTTTCTATCTCTAGAAGTTTGATTAGGTCCTTTCTACAAATCTTGCCATATTTAACTTGCTCAGTTATTCCTCTGCCTTCTTGAGCTTATGGAATATAGTTAAAATAGTTGTTTTAATATCCATGTGGGTTATGCCTAACATTTGTGTCAGTTGTGGGTCAGTTTTGATTGAGTGGTTAATTGTTATTCTTATTATGGGTCCTGTTTACCTGCTACTTGCATGCTTGTCAATTTTTTTATTAGATGCCAGACATGATTAATTTTATCCTTAAGGGTAGTGGATATTTATGTATTTCTGTAAATAATCCTTGAACTTCGTTTCGTGACACAGTTAAATTCTTTGTAGACAGTTTGATTCTTTCAGGGCTTGCTTTGCAGGGACCAGAGCAGCTGTTAGTCTGGGGCTTATTCTTCCCCATGACCAAGACAATACATCCTGAGTGTTCTAGCCAAGGTTTTCCATTGTTCCTTTCTGTTCTTTTCAGATGATGCTTTTCTCAGTCTTGGGTCCTCTTTGCGGGTGCTTATCAGCACTCTGTTGCAGATCTCCAGGTTCCCTCGCCTAGCTCTCTCCTCTCTAGCGTTCTGCCCTGTGAGCTCCAGCTGACTCCCAGGCCTCTGGCTCGATCTGTGCTCCCCTTCCCTTTCTTGTCCTATGGTCTGGAAACTCTCTAGGGTAAGCTCAGTCAATTGTAAGGCTACCTCATTTTTCTCCTGTCTCTCAGGGACTAGTGTCCAGTGGCTGAAAACTGTTGTTTCATGTATTCTGCCCAGTTCTTTGGCTGTTTCAAGTAGGGGGGTAAATGTGGTCTCTATTGCATCATCTTGGCAGAGATAAACCTGAACTGAATTAAAAAAACAATTCTCATCACAGAAACAATACTTTTTTAGCCCATAAAGTTGACAGGGGAAGGGAGATAGGGAAGAAGAAAAAAAGAATGAAAATCACCCATTGTAACTACCATTAGTATTTTTTCTTTATAAAGCTTCAAGTCTACACCCATTCTCTTATTTTTCTTTTGTATTTCTTCAAAGTAGTGCTCTCATACTCTTTATTTACTGTTTTATATCCTGGACCTCAAATTTTTTTTCAAAATGCGTACTTGATGAAACTAGAGTAGGTGCTATGCAAGGTAATACGTCTTTAGAAACAATCTAACTGGCAAGCAACTAGGACATTTCTAACACAGTTGCCATGAATTAAATTATTGAGTTAATGATAATTAACCAATCAGTAGTAAGTTAATATCTTAGACTGCTCCCCTATTGTGTTTATAAGTTAATGGTTTATAAAGCAAAAAATAAATACCATCGGCAAAGTTAGAATAATTAAGCTAATTATTAGCCTGTATCATTGATTCTTCACCTTTAGCATGCATTAGAATCACCTGAAGAGTGATTGCTGAACTCCACTTCCAGAATTTGATTTCAGAGATCTGGAGAGGCCAGAGATTTGCATTTCTAATTAGTTTCCAGGTGATGTTAATGCTGCTTGTCTTAGGACTATACTTTGAGCAGCACTGCCCTCTATTGTTTTTTTTTGTAACTGAGATAATACCAAGATTTTCTTTAGTATTATATAAGGTGATCAGTGATTATTATTTGGGCTTTCTTAGAGGGAGAAACAGAGGAGAGTTACTAGCTTCTTTCAGTTGTAAGGTATGCAATTGTTAAAAAATGAAAAGGTTGAGGGGAAACATTATTTTATGAATATCAACTTGACTTTCTTTACTATGTTTATGGTCACTAATAGGCAAACACAGCTGCCACTAATAGTCTGCTTTTCAAGTTATGGTCAGAAATGAGTAGTTGAGAAAAAAAATAAGTAGCTAATAGATAGAAATATTGTATTTTCAGAAGAGGGTAATATCAATAATCTCAGTAAGTACTTTGAAATCTTTAGCTAAAATCCTAATATTTTATAATATTGTCATTTTTTTGTTTTAATTATGTTTCATTATTATGAAATTTTAGATTTTATTAAGGATATGTGTATCCCCATACACATTCATGCTTCATTTCATATTGTTTTATTACTAAGCTTATTTTGAGGGATAGAAATTATGTACTTTTTGAATTTTTTATGATTTGTCTATGTTAATTAGATTTATGATTTGTTTAATACTTATATACCTTTCTGATAACTAATGTTCTTTGTTTTTTAAAGCCACTGGATGTGGACAAAGATTCTTCCCTGGTGACTCTCTGTTATGGACTCTGTGTACTCGGACGGAGAGCTTTGGGGACTGCATCCCATCATATGTCCAGGTAAAGAAGGCATTTCTGTTCTGAGGAAGAGAGTATGGGAAGCTGAATAACCTAAATCTAAAATCATTTTTCATGGAAGCATGTATTCTATGCTAATTTATTATAAAGTCTTTTTAGATTTTATATTTCTATATATCATCTTCTTAGACATAGTTAAGTTGTCCTAACTGGTTAACAGAACTGGTTTTTAAAATTCACACATGTGACTGGGCATCGTGACTCATGCCTGTAATCCCAGCACTTTGGGAGGCCGAGGCGAGTGGATCACCTGGTCAGGATTTTGAGACCAGCCTGGCCAACATGGTGAAACCTCATCTCTACTAAAATAGAAAAATTAGCTGGGCGTGGTGACGGGTGAGTGCCTGTACTCCTAGCTACTCTGGAGGCTGAGGCAGAAGAAGTACTTGAACCCAGGAAGCAGAGGTTGTAGTGAGCCAAGATCACACCACTGCACTCCACCCTGGGCAATAAAAGCAAAAAAAAAAAAAAAAAAAAATCACACATGTGTGGATAGCCACTGGTAATGAGAATATGATGAATTTAAGACATTTTAAAATATAACCACCCCATGAATTTTGATTGGTCTCCTCCTGTTTACATCTATTTTTAAAATATATTCATTTATTTCTATTTTTTCATATTTCTTTGCAGCCTTTGTCCAGGGTATTTATACTTTTGACATAGTCATGTATTAGATTTGGAAATTCTAAATCTAAACTGGATTTCCTAACATATACATCCAAATGAATCAGAATTAAGAAATACCATATTTTGAATTTCTTCTTTAATAAATACATGTTTTCCCTTAAGCTTTTCTTAATTTATTTTAACTTACAGGCTCTTTGCCTATTGTTTATTTTCATGGACTCACTATTACAGTGGTTCATAAATAAGGGTCCCAGGTTGAACAGGCCCTGTCTCCTATGATTCTGGTTCAGGGTTCTGATGTTAGTTCCTGGAATCTGTATTTTCAAAACAGTCCCAGGTGATTCTGATGCACACCCAGATGTAAGAATCAGTGTCATGGAAGACCTTTGTCAAAACATGTGAACTTTTATCTTCAATCTTAACAGTAATTTAGAGTCATTCCTCTATGGATTGCATGCCCTATTTAAAGGAGATTTCCGTATTTCTTCAATTCGAGATGAATGGATCTTTGCTGACATGGAATTGCTAAGGAAAGTGGTAGTCCCTGGGATACGTATGTCCATTAAACTTCATCAGGTAAGAAGATGAGATTTTTCTAATTAATTACTGGTGTTTACTGATCCTTCTTCAAGTGACTTCGGTATTAGTTCATTCTCACACTGCTATAAGGATTACCTGAGATTGGGTAATTTATAAAAGAAAGGGGTTTAATTGACTCACAGTTTCACAGGGGTAGGGAGGCTTTAGGAAACTTACAGTCATTCGGAAGGGGAAGCAAACACATCCTACTTCACATGTCAGCAGCAAGAAAAAGTGCTGGGTAAAAAGGGGGGGAACCCCTTATAAAACCATCAGTTCTCATGAGAACTCACTATCATGAGAACAGCAGCATGGGGTAACTGCTCCCATGATTCAATTACCTCCCACCAGGCCTCTTTCAGGACACATGGGGATTATGGGAACTACAATTCAAGATGAGATTTGGGTAAGGACACAACCAAACCATATCAACTTCCAAGTTATGTATTTTAGGAACATTTTGAGAAATATTCTGATCTGAATAAAAGAAAAATGTGATTTCATGACAAGATATTTTAAATCTTTAAAACCTGAACCTATGTTTCTAATAGTAAATTTGAATATTAACATTAGAGAGTGACTGATACAGGTATGAAATGTGAAGAAAAAGAAAAATTACGTATAAGCTGTAAGTAAAGGTACTTGGCCCCCATAATACTTGTTTTGACTTCAAATGATTGTAATTCCTGTCTGTTTCTTGTATGAATATTAGCCAACTCTAAATGTAGTATAGGAACACTTCAGGAGTCTTACAAGTGCTGCTGTTACTGAATGATGAATTTAATTCTGCGTGTTATATTGAATAATAGATGGTTAAGACAGACTTAGGCTTAGCTAAATATCTTAGTAGGGTAATGACATTAAAAGTGAGCTCCACAATGCATTGTAAAGCCCTAGATCGTTGCGAGAATATATTGTGAAATTAAGTACTGGCACTTGTTCCTCTAATTATTCCACAGCACAATGGTTATCAAATCTGATGACAGAGACCCCATAATAAGACTCATTAAAGTGTATCTGCAGTGCTGAAATCTAATTGAATCTTTTGCTCCCAAATTGTGGCTTACTCTTCAAGTCATTTTAGTACAATCTAAAGTGTGAGAATTAAGTTAACAACCTCACTTTCTTTAGGAACATTACTTGTAAGGAATACGTTATTTGAAAATCTCTGCGAAAAATGGAACACTATTTGAGGATGATGGGGGAAATACTGATTTGTGATCAAATAGAATTGTCCATCTTCAGACTAGCTTTAGAGTTTTGATACAAAATTTAATGCATTTTCAAAAAGATGATTACTTCAGATTAAAATGTTTTTAAAACTTAGATATTTCTGGAAAGGTACCAGGTATATATCTGCTTTATAAGGAACACTCTCTTTTTTATAGCATAATTTTCTAATAGCTTCTGACAAACTTCTTTAATAATAAGTGTTATGAAATCCAATCTGAATTTGAGATTAAACTGAGCACAGAATTTAAAGCCTCTGATGCCTTGGGTGCCTGCCCCTAGTCGCTTCTTACAAGCACTCTCTTGCCTATTGCTGCCAGGTCTCTTTCCTTAAATATTCCTTTGGCTGTGGCATTATTGCCAATATCAGTGATTCTCTACTTTATATTCTGGCCCAACACACTTGGATATAGCACTCTCCCATCATAGCCAGGACTGACAACAGTTATAAACAGGGAGGTGAGGATGTGGAATTGGAACCCAGGAACCATGGAGGGCTGAGGGGAGGAGTAGAGGTGGAGAATGTAATGCAACCGGGAGAGGTTCCTTAATTCTGATATACCTTTTAGGAAGATGGAGATTGACCTATGAAGTCATAAACAACAGCCATTTATTGATCATCACTTAGAGAAATCCTCATAGACAACCCAATGTCGTGCTCAGGCAGGAAATTACAGATGTGTAAATCAGTACTGGTCATTGCCAAAATTCACAGGCTCATGAAAATCCATAAAAGTGAACAGTAGGCTTATATACTAAAATAAAGGATATATGCATCTACCTTACAACCCAACAGTTCTACTTCTAGATGTTTACACAAGAGAATGGAAGTACAGTTGACCCTTGAACAACACAGGTTTGAATTGCATAGGTACATTTATACACAGATTTTTTTTCAGTAAATGTATTGGAAATTTTTTTGGAGATTTGCAACAATTTGAAAAACGTGAACTACAAAGCCTAGAAAGAGCAATAAAATAAGACAAACTTAGATATGTCATGAATGCATAAAAATACATAGTTACTAGTTTGTTTTATTATTTGCTACCATAAAACATAGAAATCTATTATAAAAAGTTAAAATTTATCAAAACTTAACAAAAACACTTATAGACTGTACATGGTACCATCTACAGTTGAGAGAAATGTAAACAAACATAAAGATGCAGTATTAAATTGTAACTGCATAAAGTTAACTGTGGTACATATTAATATTATACCACTACAGTAATTTCATAGTCAGTTTCTGTTGCTACTGCAGTGAGCTCAAATGTTGGGAGTATGATTAAAATGCCATGTGACACTAATCATCTCTGTGTGAGCAGTTCTCCTTTCCAGTAAATTGTATATTTCAATTAAAAAGTGATCTCTTGCAATTCTCATGTATTTCTCATTGTGTTTAGTGTAGTACCATAAACCTTGAATAACACCATGAGACCTATACAAAGTGCCACTAGTGATGTTGAAAGGGCTCCCAAGAAGCAGAGAAAAGTTGTAACATTAAAAAGAAAGGTTGAATTGCTTGATACATGCCATACATTGAGGTCTGCAACTGTGGTTGCCCACCATTCCAAGATAAGTGAATCCATCCTAGGGACCAGTGTGGAAAAAAAATTTGTGAAGCTTCCACCATTACTACACCAGCAGGTGGAAAACCTTGCACATTTTACATAATACCTTTTCATCTTGTGTTGAAAATACAGCTTTTATATTGGATGCAGGATTGCTGTTCAAAAGGCATGCCTTAAACACTAATATGATTCAAGAAAAAGTGAAGTTATTATATGGCAAATTAAAGCAAAAGGGAGGTGAAGAATCTAAAGCTGGAGTTTAATGCCAGCAAAGGATAGCTTGATAATTTTAGAAAGAGCTTTGGCTTTAAAAATGTCAAGATAACAGGTGAAGCAACTTTTGCCAAGGAAGAGGCAGCAAATGAATTCCTAGGTGCCATTAAGAAAATCATTGAAGAGAAAGGATAATTGCCTGTACAGCTCTTAAATGCAGGTGAAAGTGCCCTATTATGTGGCGGGAATGGGGTTGGGGGAGCCATAAAGGACATTTTTTAGTAAGGAAGAGAAGCAAGCACCAGAATTTAAGGCAGGAATGCGTAAACTAAGTTTACTGTTTTGTGCAAATGCAGTGAGGTTTATGATCAGGACTGTCTTTACCTGTAAAGCCACTGACTCCTAAATCTTGAAGGGAAAAGTTAAATATTACCTGCTATTTTGATTGCACAAGAAGGCCTAGACAAAGAGAATTTTTTTCCTGGATTGGTTCTACCGATGCCTTGTCCCTGAAGTCGGGAAGTACCTTGCCAGTAAAGGACCTTCTTTTAAAGTTCTTTTGATATTGGACAGTACCTTTGGCCACCCAGAACCTCATGAGTTCAACACTGAAGGTGTGGAAGTGGTCTCCTTGCCTCCAGCAGCATCTTTAATTCGGCCTCCAGATCAAGGTATGATAAAGACTTTTAAGGCTCATTGCACATGGTACTCAATGGAAAGGATTGTCAGTGCTATGGAAGAGAACCCTGAAAGAACATCATGAAAGTCTAGAAAGATTACACCATTGAAGATGCCATTTTTGTTGTAGAAAAAGCCATGAAAGCCATCAAACCCAAAATAATAAATTTCTGCTAAAGAAAACTGTGTCCAGATGTTGTAAATGACTTCACAGGATTTATGACAGAGCCAATCAAGGAAATCATGAAAGAGATTGTGGATACGGGAAAAAAAAAAAGTAGGGGATAAAGGGTTCCAAGGTGTGACTCTTGGAGAAATTCAAAAGCTATTAAACATCCCACCAGGAGTATTAACAGAAGATGACTTGATGGAGATGAGGGCTTCCAAACCAGTGCCAGATAGTGAGGAAGACGAAGAAGCAGTGCCAGAAAACAAGTTGACTTTACACAGTCTGGCAGAATGATTCTGATTATTCAAGACTGCTTTTGACTTATTTTACAGCATGGACCCTTCTGTGATATGGGCACTAAAAGTAAAGCAAAAGGTAGAAGAAGAATTGGTCCTATATGGAAACATTCTTAAAGAAATGAAAAAGGAAAAATGTCAGAAAAGTGTCATGTTTTTGGTAAAGTTACACTAAGTGTGCCTGCTTCTCTTTCCTCTCCTTCACCTCCTCCACCTCTGCCGCCTCTGAGATGAGACTGCAAGACCAATCCCTCCTTTTCCTCTTTCTCAGCCTAGTCCAAATGTGAAGATGACAAAGTTGAAGAACTTTATGATGATCCACTTCCACTTGATGAATAGTAAATGTGTTTTCCTTATGATTGTCTTAATATTTTCTATTCTCTAGCTTACATTATTATAAGAATATAGTATATAATATGTATAAAATACAAGATATGTGTTAATTGACTATATTATTGGAAAGGCTTCCAGTCAACAGTAAGGTGTTTGTAGTTAACATTTTTGGGGAGTCAAAGGCGATACATGGATTTTAGAGTGCATAGGGAGTAGGCACCCCAACCCCTGCATTGTTCCAGGGTCAACTGCATATGTCTACACAAAGACTTAAACAAATGTTTATAGAGTTTTTATTCATAATAACCTCCAACTGGAAACTACTCAAATGTCCATCAGCAGACAGGCATACCAATTATGGTATATTCACAAAACAATATTACTCAGGAATAAAATGAACTGATAACAAACAGCCGATCAGTGGTTGCTTAGAGTTTAGAGAGTAAATGCAAGAGGCAGGATGGAAATGCTATCTAGATTGCAACAGTGGTTACCTGGGTATGCACA